TGAACATCATAATCCCTACAGCCCAAGTTTTAGTCCAAGAAGTTCGAAATAATACCACGCTTTACAATCCCACCAAAATATTCATACAATTTGAATGCACAAAACTTTTCGTAGGGCTAGACTTCATCACTGTTATGGTACAGAATCTAGGCCTAGATCGTTTCACCTTTGTTATTATTGAGTCAAATTTTTCCAATAATTTTGATGCAGACCTTGATACTGTCATAGAAAAAATAGGCGTACCACTCAATAATAAAGTCATGTCATTATATAGCCTTATCAAGCATGGCATCATCCTCAGGACTTACTGTAGGCCAAGGCACATGTATACACACACTACTGCTAGTCTTTGGTAATCTATTTATAGACAACACTTGCAATAAAAAAATGAATATACTGTAAACAAGAGAATTCATACAGGCCTACTTTTACTATAAAGTGGAACCATACGCCTATTTAAGGATGACAGTAAAGTCAAACAATATTGTACTTTTGATGTTCTAATTTCCCAGTACTGTACAATGATCGTTCTCCTTCCACCGCTCATTGCAGGTGATATGCAATGCCAGTATTCAAAAAATGACATCACGCACATTCTGGCATTTCATTGGGTGATGGTGACGTAATGTCATTTACAGTACCTTTAGCAAAACGAAGTAGAAATACGGTACCGTATCTCTAGCCACGGCGTAAATATTATTGCATAAAAAGCATATCCTATAGATCTGATTTATTCTATATCCTTTATTTCAGTTTGAACCGTACATAAGTCCTTTCATTCGTTCATACGTTCATCGTTCATTTGTTCGTTCTTTGAATCATTGTATACCATTGATAATCCGTTATCTTATACCGTTGGAAAACCTTAAGAATTAAATAAACAGAACGCGTAAACATTATGTTGAGTTCAACTGTGATTTTTGTTAATTGCACCGCTTTTAACATTTAGCGACGTTACAATGCACTTGGGACCAATGGCTTTAAACGTCTTCTACAAAAATGTGTTCGCTATGGCAAACCTCTTCCTTATTACAGGAGAACAGTTTGAAACTGAAAAACAACAATATATTTCACTTCCATGCAGGAAGACAGGCATTTTTATGGCTAAAACATTATGGTTTCAGCCTGGCTAGTGCATGTTTCAGTTTTGATTCAATTTCAGTTTTGGACGATCATTGTTAAACGGAATGTTTAACAATGAACATTTTAAAACTTCAAACATGAAATACAAATTTCTAAATTAAGGTTTTCAAAATGAAATGCAACTGAATTTATTATTCATGGCATCAGTTCTCGTTGTACAGATGGTTGCTGACTACATATACTTTTAATTAAAGATCCTGGATTTAACAGAGTACCAAATGAAAATTTTGAATAGAATCAAACTCACAAAATCTTGAAAGAAGATTTAGAAACAACACACTATCATAGTTCAAGCTGAAAACAAATCACTATAGTTACAGTTAATATACAATGCCTTCATAAGTCCAGGACATCAATCACTACAGCTAAAACATAATACACTACTGTCACAAATGTTTATGATTTGCTGTACCTTGTATCCAATCTGGTTGCAAGGTTTTGAACATTTAACAACCTTCAAAAACATTGCCTATAGGACATTATTACTAATACAACAATGGTGCGTTACTAAGCAACTTTCCTGCACTTAGTAGAACTGTCATCCTGTTTACATAATATCTTCTTCCTCTGTTCAGCACATAAAGTCATTTCAATTTATTCAGAGAAATAACAGTGCCTCCAAGCACCATCTTATTTATTCTCCTCATAAATTAGGCCAATCTCCCTCTGACAACAGCAATAAAAAGATCATTTAAAAATTTTCAAATGCAAGCTATATGAAATACCATCTCCCCCTAATTAAAGACCAGACCTTTCCAATTAAGGACAACCTCCAAATTTTAAAGACTGCTTTTCTGTTGTCCTATTATTACTATGTCTTTTATCTTTATTTTATTCTTATTACAGACCAAAGACCACAGAACCCCAATCCCAGTGGAGTCTTTAATATTTGACAGGAGACCTGCATTCAATATGAAAAAGAGAGGAATATTTAGGAGAGATTTACATATCTGTAACAACAGCCAATTTCATTTCATATTGTTGTTATAGAGCTTCAACCATGGTGGGGCTGATGCCATCTGTGAAAGTCCCTCCTGCACCCTCCCCACCCCACCCTTTGACCCACCACCGCAGATCTCCCGGAAATGACTTCATCCAACTTGGGACCTCTCTAAGCATCAACTCTTCTCTTATGAAGCTGGCAACAAGAGGGAATCTAACAGTGGTACACAGAATGATCATAAATGTCAAGTTCTGCAAAAATCATTGGCGGCAGGTAACTTGAACAAAAAAATGTACATACTGTGTGTCAGCATATTGTACAATTATCCTCACTGTTTAATTTGAAAGTTGCTAAATCAAATTTAACGGTTGTGTTTGTTTCTAAGCTGTGTACAGTATGTTGAAAACAGTTCTGGATTTGATCTCATTTATATTAGGACATTTCTGGGTTAATAATCTATAAGTCTAAACATTTATTTCTTTGATTACCCCTGAGTCCAGCTAGCATCAAAATATTTGTTTTGAATTGTGTGTTTTTAGTAACTAATTCCCTAAAGCTATGTCCGAGACTATCAACTTTTATATGACAAAAACATATGACATGCTTAATATGGACATGATAACATCACATCATGACCACATAACCATATCATGACTACAGTACATATGGGCATACCTAATAGCTTTTTGTCGAAGAAAATTTGATGATCTGGACAGAACTTAACAAAATTTTTTAATTATGTGAGTAAAATGTAGCCTGCCAAGGTAGTGTATATGGGAAGATGATCTTTTTTTATTTAAGGAAAATAAAGTCCTTCCTTCCTTCACACAACAGAAACTGGGGAGTCTAAAGAGGTTTATAGATCTTGATCGGGAAAACTTGTAGGCCTGTGTACACATCTTTAGAGATTGACACATGATTCATGTTTTACTAGACGTAGGCCTTAGCTTAAAAGAACATGGGCAATATGAACAAAAACAATAGAGCTGAGATGTGCGATTTATGTAATACGATATGCGGTAATTACTATAAGCTACATGTAAACAAGATATTTATATTTTCACTGACGTAATTATCCGATTAACTTGCCTACTTTCATACATTCTAGTAAAGATTGACATTAACGTAGGAAGCATTGTGACCATCTGACTCATCGCTTTAAAAACAAGCAAACGAGAGCATCGATGATGCAATAGCCCACTTGACAATTAGCTGGCAATGTTTAAAAATGCTGTTAAGTGAGTGGAGGTTGTGTGGAGTGGAGGTTATGTGGAGTGTTGTTACATGTATAAAAAAAAACGTTTAAAGTTATAGTAGTTGTATGCATCATCACAGACCTTTTTTGTTATGTTCACATAACAGTTAGAAAAGGTGTGATGTCGTGTACAGTGATATTAAAGGAAATATGGTTGTTGTAGTGGTTGTTGTGTACGTATGTTTTTGAAATATTTTGTACTGTAATTATGAAGATATATATGTAGCTTTTTATGATTTAATTAGACAGTTTGGGGAGTGAATGTAATTTGTTGCATAGAAGTATTTCATTGTGAAGAAATATATTTTTATAAAAGGCGCATTATAATTACGTATATTATTTGTCTTTGTTTGATAGTTAAACATGCAGTTTATTTGAGAAAGGCTAAATAACTTCTTGGCCGACGTCAGATCTTAATGTATGTATATGTTTATATGTATATATATATATATATATTAATATATATGTATATGTATATTTATATATATATGTATAAATGTATATATATATATGTATGTATATATGTATATTTATGTATATGTATATATGTATATGTATGTATGTATATATGTATATGTATGTATATATGTATATATGTATGTATGTATATATGTATGTATGTATATATGTATAAGAAAGTATAATACATACTCCAAGTATTGAAATACACGCCATCGTGTTGGGATTCAATATTTCGACATTAATTATGTCATCATCAGGAATCGTCATCAACTACACCACAGTGCGGCAACACGAAATGTGCTGTACATACACTCATCGCTACTGACTGATTTGAATGTGTGGTTTAATACACATAAAAGCAACTTGTAGCCTACATTTATTTCCTGTAGTATCTGATCTAGACTAGGGCATAGGCCTACCTACACACACGTACGTACCCAGCCAGCCTATTCGTCTTCGTCAGACCAGCCTGCATTACAGTACATTGACACGAAATGTGCTGCACACATACACTCATCGCTACTATTTTGAATATTATGTGGTTTTATACACATAAAACCAATTTGAGCCTACATTTCCTGTTATCTAATCTTACACACACACACATACTACCCAGCCAGCCTATAGTTCGTCTTCCTCTATCTCTAGACCAGCCTGTATTACAGTACATTGTTTATCTCTCAGAGGAGAAACCACCCACCCTTGCAAGCACCACAAAACGGCTCATTCTTCGCTACCAACTAGACTACTCGTGCAGATGCATTTATTAGCCGCAAAGGTTACCATTCCAGGCTGTGATTGGTTGATAAACACAATGTGGAATATATAGCCGATTTGTAATCTGATCAATGACGAACAGGCTTTCGTAGGAAACCCACCTTAGTGTTAAGAGGTATGATATAAAAACATACTTTTTCACATATTCCCCGACAATATTTTCGCAAAAACTCTTCATACTTTAAATTCCCCAGGCCTTATCTTCCATATTATTGCAAGATCGGCCTAATCGTATCACTAACGAAGGAAGAAATAGAACGACAAATGACTTCAAAATTCGCTCAGAATCATCATATAAGCCCTCTCTCTCAGAGAGTGGGCTAAAAATAACAAAACACATTTTTCATTGGACCAACAGGTGGGAAATGCCCTATTAAAATGGAGTTTTAATTTTAAAAAGATTTACTGTATTTATCCTACCTGCGACAAAAGATCTGAAATAATATCCAAAGGAGCTTGAAAGATTTCTTGATCTTGGACAGGTGTTGTTCGTGTCATCTGGATCATGGCCTGGAAAAAAGTTAATATCTGTTATCTACCTTTTTGTTTCCAAATGCCAACGCTTTTTTATAACCTTTTACTGGTTTCATTTATTTTAATATTTTCACAAGATAATGAAGTTGTTAAATTTTTGCCATTTGATTAGTTGTTTATAAATCATGTGGGAATATATTAATGTTTCTTTCACTATTTGTCTAATATTGTTGTTCTATCTACCGATGTTGCTGTGACATTTTAGTTTACACTGTAAGTGCAAATGATCAGGGACATAAACATCTATTTAACAAACGACAAAGAAAGCAAATGTTTATTACACATATTATATTTTTGATGTAATGTAGATGGATTTATATAGTGTGTTATATCAAAACGATCTGAAAGTGCTTGAGGTGTGGACTAGCCTAAGCCAGCTAAACCGGTACCAGCAACTCTCGTCTCTCCACAACAGGGCATTTGTCATAACAGAATGCTAATTATTTTTAATTAATCTCATTGAATTATTATTATTATTATTATTATTGTTATTGTTGTTGTTGTTGTTGTGATGATGATGTTAACACACACAATATGGTGGCTAAACGAATATTACATGTAAATATTTTTTTTAAATTTGTTTGTTCCCCAACAAAATTTATCGTCCTCCCCGACGGGGGGATGTAGCCCCCCAGCCCCCGGTGCCACCACTGCCCCGTCGGGGAGAAAAACCACAATTCACCAGGGATAAAAGAAAATTACATGTATTTTGTACATAGCAGACTCTAAAATCAATGAAATAAGCTTTTAAAACAACTAAATTGTCAAAATTTTCGGGAGCTTTGCCACCTAGACCACTTTCAAAACATTTTAAGTGACGTTCGACTACGCCCATTTTGCTCTTGTTGGGGAAATCTTCCCTCTCACCTTCCCCCCCCCAATCGGGGATCTGGGACCCCTATCAGTGAAATCCTGGTGCCACCCCTGCAATGGACCGGAACACTGGGGAGCTCAATACTCATCTCAAAAGATGTAGGCCTACAGGGTAAAGTGAACATGAACCAAATTGCGTACACTACCTATGGCTTATTGTCCTCATCCAGGAAGACACCACCAGAATCATAGGCAAGCATGCCGTTTGAGCCAGCGCTAATGTTGTGCTGTCCCTGCCTTAACAGCTAGGCCATTCAACTCACCATATGGATGTTCCTCATATATACGGAATACAATATTTCTATCCCATACATATTAAGATAGAATGTCCTACATCAGGGGTGGGCATAAAAATCGGTTGGAGGGCCAAAGTGAATTTTTGATTTAACACCGAGGGCGGCAACCAAACTTTGATGCACTGCTTTTATACCACTTTATTCTCAGTTTTAACAACTTTATTGATATAGGTTTCAAATACAATCAACATTAATTCAACCAGTATTAAACAAAAATGTATTATTACAAGTTCCCAGCAGTCTGTTAAATAAACATGAATGAAATTTTTAGATAAAAAAGAACTCTTTATGAAAATAGTTACTGGTATCATGTTTCAACATACAATTAGAATCAGAATTAGGATTATTTTTGCACCGGAAAATTAACATGGATTAGCTGCTTTAAACATTAAAATAAAAACAATCTGTATTACAGTAATCCTACTTTTAGCACACATGAATATGGTATTATAAATAAAAATTTTTAAAAAATATTGTAGTTTTAAGGCGTTTATACTACATCTTAACTAAAAAACATATTCTGAATGGAGTGGGTATAAATTGATATCTGTTGTGCAGCTTCTCTAAAAAAAATGTGCCAAAAAATAATGAAAACCATGCAATTATTATAAACAATACAGTTTAATATTAAGAACTTGTAACTTGCGTAAATGACATTTTGCCATTGAACCAAACAAATATGGTGTACACCACAGAACTTTGCACAAACGTTGAATAGTTCCGGCATAGTCTATCCTGCAAATCCATACACCTTTCTCATAGAATGTGAATGGTTGTTACCCCAATTTATAATGGTTGTCTGAGTTTAGCACATATCTATAGCTATGCCTATATACTTACACTTTCCAACAATTTAAATAACAAGGTCAATGATTTAAATAGAATTAAATAACTATATAATTATTGTACAAAAAGAAAAAAAAAAACAAAAACTCATAAACAAAATGTTGAGTGGACCTACGAGGAAACTCTAAAGAAAATGATTAAGCGCGGCAGATGGAACAGATTTGTAGATATTCGCGTGAGCAAGCGTTTGGGTCGCAGCAGCGCAATTGGTCATGCTAGCAGTCCTGTTTTGAGTCAGGTTTATTTGTTTCATTTACTTTCTTTTCAAATTTTGTGTTTTGTCAAACGACAAGGTATTCATCTTGTTGAATAAATCTGTAGGCTATGCAACAAAAAAAAAATTTAAATTTAGAACTTTTCTTTGTTTTAGCTTCATTAATTATCAATCGTGGACAGTTCTATATTGACTGAACATATAGCACAATCATCATTATTATGCATTAGACTTAAAAGAGAACTAACAAAATGATTTTTTGTTCTAGAGTGGATATTTGATAAGTCATTAATAATAGAATCAACCTTAAAATCGTTCTTTGGCTATTTTTTATGAAGTTATAGACGATTATATAAGATTTTACCATGACGTCACTGGCGAAAATGTAACAAAAGACCGTGTAAATAGTGCCGCGTAGGGTATCCATCGCGTAGGATATCCGCCGTGTACGATCATTGCGTGCATGCTGTAACAATCATAATTTACAGCCATGGTTACAGCGTACACGCAAAGATCGTACGCAGCGGATACCCTACGCGGCGCTATTTACACGATCTTTTGTTACTCTTTCGCCAGTGACGTCATAGTAAAATCGTATATAATTGCCTATAACTTCTTTAAAAAAAGGCCAAAAAACGATTTTAAGGTTGATTCTATTATTAATGGCATATCAAAAATCCTCTCTAAAACAAAAAATCATTTTGCTAGTCTCTCTTTTAACAAAACCGTAACATATGTATAAGCTTAATGTTAAATGAAAGATTTGTTAGATAACTTTATTTTATTTATATATTTATTTTTTGTTCAGATACTTTTCCAAATTTTCAGTGTGTGTTATTCCGCGCAATATTTGCTTTATGTCTTATATGTGACCCAAGCTCACAAATGGGCTGTAAACTCGCACTGCACTGTATTGAGAAACAAGCCTCAATACCCAGAATAGGGCGTAGAATGTGAATTTTGTGTGAATTGGGTTTTTGTGTAATAAATAAAGTATAACTATTAATCTTACTATTCCAGAGGTTTGAGTTTAAAATTCCAACTGTAAGAAGTAAACTTTAGCCATTTTCGGATGGGAGCTAATGAAAAATGAATAGAAACCTGCCGAAAATAAAAGCATTTTTCTCAAAACTTGATTTAAGAAAGTAGATAAAATGACAATTATTCAAACGGTCATAACTTTGCTTCCAGACAACCGATTGAGTTCATTTAACTGTCATTTTAAAGTAAATGATATGTTCTATGCCATTATAACAAAAACTTATTTTGGCCTGAGGACGAGTTTACAGCCCGTTTGTGAGCTTGGGTCACATATTTTAGTACTGTTACGGTAGTTTTTTTACTTATTGTACTGGGAAAGACAATTTCATGTATTGTATTATCATATGATGACCAATAAAATGAACTTGAACTTAAAGCTCTGTCTACACTATCAAATTTTGTGTGACAAAAAAGTGTGATATGCCCATATATGGGCATGATGACATCACACCATGACCATATATAGGCATATCATTACTATATATGGGCTTGTCACATTTTTTTGTCAAAGTAAATTTTATAGTGTGGATAGAGCTTTAGGGTAGCAGTGGTAATATATATTGGTATAAACAGCCCAAATAATTAAAACTCATTTTACATAACCCCAGATCAAGGATATGACGTATGAGTTAACATGAAGGTTGTGAAGTATGTTTTAATATTATTAGGCCAATGATTGTTCAAAAACATTCATATCCTTCCTTCTTTCGATTTAGCAGTTTGCCTAAAAAATCTGTCTTCATAGTATATCGAAAACATTTATAATACGCATAGAAATATCATTCCACAAAAGAATGAAGCTAAATTTCGCTGAAACATATCAGACTCAGTTCTTTGAAATTACGCAGATGTTTAACACAACCACGTACTAATCTATTTCATTCTTTAATGAGTGAACATTGCTGTATGCATAGAGTGGCATACAGTAGCAATCTTGACCTATGGGATATTTTAATCCACCTAACCTATCCATCTTGTTTTCAGAGAAACCTTGTTTTTTGTTTTTTTTTATAGTTACCGAGTCATTGTGAATTAAGGTTTATGTATCTCTTGGTTTGGAATGCACCTTAATAGAAGTATAGGCCGACAGGATACCAAGCGACAAGGCACCTTCATCTGAGACCGTAATAGGTGTATTGTTGTTCTTAAGATTTTTCTTCTTTATTTATTTACTTATTAGGTTATACACTGCTACAGCGTATCACCTATTGTTCTTAAGATTTTCTTCATTTATTTATTTATTTCTCCTTTTTTATTCTTTCTCTCATTTTTTGTTCATGACTATTCTCAAAAACGGCACAGGTTCTATCCTAAATCCTAGATAGATAGAAGTTTTGCAGGTGACTTTTTGTGTGATGTCACAGTCACGTGACGTCATCTACCGACATTTTGTGAAATGTTATGATTGATCATAAATTCCTCACCAAGACATTTTCAATGAAACGTGACACAAGTATACTTCATACAGTATGAGGGGCCAACTTTTTGTACTCATCAACGTCTGCACGCGTCATAGTGTGCCTATACGTATGTGTTAAAATTTCAAAATGCTCAAAATCACTTTTTGACTAAATTAGAGCACGTTTCAGGCCATTTTGAGCATTTCTAAATTTTTTTAATTTTTCGTTCCGCGGAAACTATGAGTTACGTTCTTTTTTACATATTTGGAGCTATAACATATAGGAGCTGTAACTGATTAAAAATA